GTCATCTCCCTCTCTTATGGCAGCTGCATGTTTATGTACATCAATCCATCAGCAAAAGAAGAAGGCGCTTTCAACAAAGGAATAGCTGTGCTCATTACCTCAATTACTCCCTTATTAAACCCCTTCATTTACACTCTAAGAAATCAGCAAGTGAAGCAAGCATTCAAAGACACCATCAAGAAGATTATGAAGCTTTAAAAACAGAATACATTTCAATCAAAGGCATATATCCTAATTTCAAGGTATCTGCAGCCTAGTATGATAGAAAGGTATATAAACTGTATACTTACGTAATAAGCTTACAAAAAATAAAATAACGTGGTAAGGGCTATTAGAGAAAGATAAATGAGAATCCACAAAAAGAACAGTTAGAGAGAATTAACTATTTTCCAGAAATCACTTGAAATTCAAGAGGCAAAACATATTGCTTATTTAGAAGAGTGGAAAAATAAGAATTTAGAGGAAGAGAGGCCAAAATCTAGGATTGCCATTTTTCTTCATCATGGGGCCCTAGAAACTATGCTTCCATCAAAGTGTCAATAATTTTTATTCTCCTCCCCTTTTCATTCACCTTTCACTGTAGCCATTACAACTTTTATCCTTCCATAAAGGAAAACAAAAAGGATATACATTTGGTCCACTTTTCTCCAAATGAAGTGAAAACCCTCAAGATTTTTATCAACTTACCCATCCATTTTCTAGAAGTTATGGTTCCAAGAGTATTCTAGAGCCAAGGTTAAAAGTCTTCCACTTCTACACAGGATCTATTGCTTTTCTTCACTGACGTCTTTTTAAGTTAATGACTGAGATTTCCCATTCTCTCTCTTTGGTAGTTTTGGTGATTTTTTTTTTTTTGCTATTATATTTTCACCTTTTTGTTTACTTTTATTAGATATCAGAAAGGACACCTTCTGTGATATGACTCCATTCTTTTAACTTTCCCCCAAGTTTTTGCTTTTGTTTATAACATAAGCCAGGGATGCCTGTTTCATAAACTGCAAATGAATATAAAGTATTAATATGGTTTTATATCTAGAATGTTCCAAATTATGAGTGTTAGCAACCAAATGGGAATAGAGACTACCCTACCAAGGACTCTACACATGGATTCAAGGTGACAACAACTTGAATATGAATTGGTGCTGGGCCTAAACTTCAAAGGAACTAAGAACATTTTTGGAAATCTGAGTACTTGCAAATATTTTAGTAATATCCTAATGCATTGTAGAATGCTGGTTACTGTTTGAAGCACCAGTGAAACATCATCTGGTGTGTTCACATGCTTTATATGTGGTAATATTATTTGGTGGAATGATGCTTCTTGGGAATTTAAGAAACAAGCTGCATTGGACTTGTTATAAGAGAAAATTTCCAGAACCATAAAAATATTGAAGAGCGCATCATATTTTGAATAAAGCACCTTTTATGTAAAGCCATTGCTATTTTGAATATCTGGATTTCTTTGGTGACTAAGATAGAGATTGGTGATGCCTTTTAATTTATTACAAATTGTTGGGGAACATCATCAAAAAGACATGACCACAGATTGACCCGTGAGCTGGACCCATACCTGGAGGCTCCTCCCTCCCTCCCCTATCCTTGGAATGAGGGCTCCACTTGCCTTTCCCACTCCCAGAGGCTGCTCCAAGAACACAACCTTGAGATAGTTACATGGTGTAGAGAACACCTGCACGTTATAAGTGACTGAACCCAGTTAAAGCCTATTTATAAACTCTTAAGAAGCAGTGGGCAGCTGTGAGGATCCAACTGCCTTGCTGCCACCCAAGGCAAGCCTCATACGTAAGTTCCCTTTGCTCATTAAAACTGCCACCTACCGGGGCGCCTGGGTGGCGCAGTCGGTTAAGCATCCGACTTCAACCAGGTCACGATCTCGCGGTCCGTGAGTTCGAGCCCCGCGTCAGGCTCTGGGCTGATGGCTCAGAGCCTGGAGCCTGTTTCCGATTCTGTGTCTCCCTCTCTCTCTGCCCCTCCCCCGTTCATGCTCTGTCTCTCTCTGTCCCAAAAATAAATAAACTTTGAAAAAAAAAAAAAGCTTTAAAAAAACTGCCACCTACCAACCTGGAATGGCCTGCTTCTTTCTTCAGTCTCTCCCTGCCTTCTGAGTACAGAGGCCAGCTTCAGATTTCACCCAAGAAGCTCCCAAAAGTGTTATGAACCAATAAAAATTTACTGAGCTATTATCAAATGATATAGAAATGTTATCAAATAGCCACCTTTCAATCATTATGTTCCCACAGATCCACACTTCTACCCAAATCTATGGTGAAGTGGAAGATAATGCCATATAGTGGTCAAAAATACATGCTTTAGTTCGAATCCCAGATTTGTGTTCTACAACAGTTGCCTTGGGATGGTTATTTGACCTCTCTAAGGCTTACTTTTCTCAAATTCTAAAATGTGGATAAATAGTTATGTCTATTGTATGTGACAGTTTTGAACATTAAATGATATAATAGGCATAAAACATTTTAAAAGCCAATACTTAAATGTTTAATAAGTGATACCCATTTTAACAGTATGATAACGGTGAACAATACCTTCTCAAGAAACTGGGGCTTAATTAGTAAAAGAGATGTTAAATTGATTGGTTTAATATGACTGGGACTATATAAATGTTGGCCATTCTAGGTGTAATACCTCTGCACCAAGGTCAGCTTGCTTACATTTCTCTTATGTCCAGTTGCATCCTAGGATAGCCAGATCAATGAGGGTCTTATCCACACTTCAGACAAAGCCAATCAGAACATTTGGCAACAGATTATTAGGACCTAGCTACCTCAACTCCATGTGCCCTCGAAGCACACAAGATAGGGAAGGAGGATAGTTGGTGTGAGTCAAAGTTGAAGAACACTTTAAGGACTTCACCCAGGGGCGCCTGGGTGGCTCAGTCGGTTAAGCGTCTGACTTCAGCTCAGGTCATGATCTCACAGTTTGTGGGTTCGAGCCCCACATCGGGCTCTGTGCTACCAGCTCAGAGCCTGGAGCCTGCTTCGGATTCTGTGTCTCCCTCTCTCTCTGCCCCCTCTCCTGCTCATTCTCTCTCTCTCTCTCTCTCTCTCTCTCTCTCTCTCTCTCTCTCAAAAATAAACAATAAAGATTTTTTAAAAAATTTTTAAAAAGGACTTCACCCAGCCTTAATAATATCAGCATTTAGAAATTAATTTGGAAAGAAACATATTACCTTCTAAATGAGCTTGTCAAAAAAAAAAAA